CAACTTACGGAGTTCCGAAAATTAAGCCTCAAACAATCTGGTTTGAACGGCATTCGAACCCATGACCTCTTCGATACCGTGCTTTTGTTGGTATTCTGCGATACCGTGCTTTGTCGGTATACACGAAGCACAACATCAATCTTATAGAAACTTGTCATCCCACCTTCAATTTGGAAAATGTGAATTAAGAAAATATCAAAAGCAACATTGCGCAGATTCGTGTGTAATTTAGGTCATACTTAGACAGTTGTTACAAACTAAATCTACATTAAAGAATAACATTTACCGAAACGTCGCACTCTCGGGAAACTACAGTAATGGTCTGATTTGAGACCGGGGAACTGCAAACTTGAAAGATTGGTTCATTGCTTCTTTCTGGCCAGTTCTTTCCATTTTGAGCTCAGAAGCGTTCGTTTTCTTAATGTAAATAATGAAAAAGAGCGGGTCGCGAGGACTTTTGTTTGATTTTTTTTTTGATGGTTCCGATCAGCGCCTGGTAGTAGGACAAAAGTTACTAACTATAAGGTGGGGGTATGTATAACATATATCTGATGTGCATAAATTAATAGCGGGATTAAAATTTGGGAATCTAGTAATTGAATTTAAGTCCATTACTTTACTCGTTCTTAAGCATTCACTCGTAAATATCTAGTACACTTCAAAGAGTATGATTTACTTACTTTATAGGGTAAATCAGGGCGACTTTTCCATTGCTAATGTCACATTTAACATCTCCTTGTTCGCCAATATCGTCATACACCGGTTGGTCGTCTTTATTGTACTTGCATAGCTGTAGATGAAACAAATGCGGGAGAGAACAAATATGCATTAGAAATAAAAGTTTACACTGCTACGCCGTATTTTCATTATATTTTTTTGTGTTTTGTTCACAGTGATTGCAAACTGTGGTTTTTGAATGTGTAGGCAAAAACATATATCATTTCAGTGGTACTGTGATATTACTTTCAACATTTACAATTTATTGTACGAACCATGGAGACATCCCATACTGTAAGGGGATGGGTAGGGATAATAAACTAATAAAATGGCCAAACATTGAAGTCCTGGCTAGGAGACCTTCATTTGAATTTCTAGCTGCCTGTTAAAATTTCAAGGAGTTAAGTGGCTGCATGTTTAACATCATGCCCCAAAACACATCTCAAAGACGACACATTTTTAAGGACTGATTAAGACAATGGACCTGTGCATGACATCGAACGATGTCAAGTAAAGGTACTCAGTTGTCATTATGTAACAGGATATTACAATTTATTATCCACCTGCAGCGAATACCGTCCAAAAAACAGAGCAAATATACAGCGATATTGTACAGTTATTTGTACAGTAGAAAAGCTGTTTGCCGGACAGGTCGGCGCGCGCACGCAAAACTGTCACACTCTCCCTCTTTCACTGATAAATTTATTGACTACAGCAGTTGGATAATAAATTCTCTATTAGATGTTTTGGAGTGTAGTATAGCTTTATATTTTTACTCGTCGTTTGTATTTTGAATCGCCCTACGGGCTTGTCAAAATACGGCACAACTCGTAAAAATATACAGCGATACTACACACGAAAGCATCTAATAAGATATATATATTCATGACTGGCTAATTCCATTGAAAACCAGGGAGAAAACTACAATTTTCCTCACTAATTTTTGACATTCAATTTCTCTTAGTTACGGAGGATAGTAATGAGAAAATATTAGTAGCAGAAAACATTCAGTGGTCTTAATTACTTACAGCCACGTTTATGCATTTGCCTTTTCTTGAAGTGAGATCGTAGGGTACACAAGGATTGTAACTGTAAAAATAATTCGGGTGTGGTTCAAATCCTGTTTCTGTAAACCTTCAGAGGATTTGAAAACCAACACCATTAATAAAACAAAATTGAAGAATGAACGAAAAGGAGAGTAGGGGGAAGGAATGAAAGAATTAATCAACCTCCAAACTTTCTTGAAGGCAGCTTGCTCTATGCTGGTGGCTAAAAGTCGTTTTTATTTTTGCCGAATTAATGACAACCGGCAAGTGGAGTAGGTGACGCAGTGAATGTATGAAATACTATGTGTAATTGGGGCTGCAACAACAACTGAACTGCAACCTGCATATCAGTGGTATTGCAGTGATCATGGTTTCGAATGTTGCCAAGAAAGCAATTGCTTGAATTTGTTTTCCCCCTGCGAATATCACTTCATTCATTTAATGTTTCAACCGCATGTACAGTTGACATATCTGCCATTCATATATTCACTTTTTCAAGAGTTGTTCTATTGTATCTATTCCATTCATTCCCGTCGTTCATTTTATTGTTTCCAATCTCAAGTAGGAAGCATTTAATCCAAGTTGAACGTTAATAAAAGGGGTAGGTTAGATAAAAAGTAGAAATAAATAACAAAAATGGATATATTTAATAATTATTCTTTGAAATCGAGACAAATATCCCACCGCTATTCACCGAGATTTCAAAGAATAATTGTTTTGGTATATACACACGAAGTGATCTCAACAAAAGACAAAAAGGATACCATTAAAAGTAGATTTAATTGACCTCCCAATTCATGCGTAGAAAAGGTTTACGCGGTACGAAGCTTGCGCGACACTGTACAGAATTATCAAACATGGCAAATCTAAGTTACCTTCGAGAAAATCCTCGTCACAATCTAGCAAAATGGTTTTTTAACACCGTTCAAATCAGCAATCTTAATCGAAAGTCCGCTTGCATAACAAGTTCACCATTCAATCAAAATTTTCTTGCTCATTTAAAATGAAAATTGAAAGAGCAGTTGGCGAATTTGGGGAAAACTAAATGTTTTCTTGCACAACGACGTGAAGGTGTTTCGTTGAATAGCACTTGATGATTCTGTCAGTGAACCCTGTGGTATTCATTTCGACCAATGCCTGGACTTGGCGGTGGGGATCAGTGCTTAGATTGATGAAATATGTGAATGCCAAGGACATGTCCCGAAACTGCTCGAAAGTCGAACGTCGTAAGACTTTTCTATCCTTTGAGACCTTTCAGGTCAAATTTCAAAGCCTTCTTTGTATTTTCTGGTACAGCATGTTCTTGTATTATCAGGATTTCCGATTCAGAAACACTGGCGAAACGCGAGTTTAGGCCGGCCATTTTGTTTTTTCTTGGATCACGCATTATTTACTCGGTAGGAGGTGGATGATGCTCATTTTTAAGAACTGGATCATTGGATAATGCAATTCGAGAGTTTTCGTTCGCTTAGCCATCATGGTATATGAGACATTATACTATACTCTACAAATATGGTAAGCGTACACGTGATTATTTTGGGCGGTTTAATTTTTTTGCTCTAGTTTTCTATATTTTGGGGGAGTTTTTAAGAAAATTTATTTTTACTGAGAATGAATGATTTTATGCAGCTAGCTACGTCAGTTAATGTTTGACTAGGAAGGGTCAGGTTACATACGGGACGCTTAGCTATGAGTACTTAAATCAATGCAGGCCAGGTTTCAGGGCTCTTTTTCTCCAGCATCGCTCTTTGAGTTTAAGTAACCGAATGAGAAGCATAAATAAAATAATTATTTCACTCGCGCTTGTTGGATATAAGATGATTATAGCCAGCTCCTCGTTGGCTATCTATCATCTCTATCATCTCTGCGCTTGAAACACCGAGATCACTGAGTGTGTATATACTAATTTCTTATGATTCTGTTTGTGTTGTTGCTACATTTTGTGCAAAGACGTTTTAAAACTTTAATGTATTCGCGATACGACACACCTATTTGGTCGTTTTATTCCTTTTACCAGCATATATCTAGACAGGAGAGGATCAGCATCTACTATTGATCTAGATCAACGGTAATTCCCTACTTCTTTACTTTCATACACACGAAAGACTCGTTTGACTCGTGGTATGTGAAAGCGGATCGCTTCTCGGTATCCTGTGTCTTGTAAGGTTGTTGTAGTAATGGTGAATGCATCATGAAACACTGAAATTATCTCTTTGATGAAATTGTGATAGTAAATTACCTTGGTTTACCATCTCTTCTTCTAAGATGAAATAAGCTGTATATTCCCTCGCTTGTCACACATGTGCAGTTGTCTGGTAAGGTGGGTTTGCGATAACATTCTCCGGGCACAGCGAAAAGTAAAATATTTAAGACCAACCAATTAAGATTTTTCATGATACCCTGAAAAAGAAAAAAAAGATATAGAGGATATTACATGGCCGCGCGGAGATACGAAATTTATCTTCGACTTATCTTGGTGGAGTATCTTCCACTAACCTTCATATAATAATAAACATTATGAGCTCCATCAAACTTTTGACTACAATGTCTTCAATTCTTGTAAAACCATATTACACTTCAGAACATGCGCAATAATCACTTTTTTCAAAAAAAAAGGACTGAATGGAAACTCCGTTCGAAAATAATAAATAAATATATAAATTTCTTACCAAGAGCGACCGTTATATAATTAGGTGGATTTGGTTTGATATTTGTTTACAAAGTGGGGGCGCTTCATAGCATCTCGCTAGGGCTAGGGAAGGACCAGGCTAGGTTCCAATATAAACAAGGCCTGGAAGGAGATTCATGTTTTCTTCAAAAGGTACGGCATCATATTGATTTTAAGAATGTCGCTTTCGAAAAAGTGTATCAACAATTTACTTTCCAAATCTTGCACTTATCTACTATGGTAATTCACCTTAGGATTCTTTTAGTTCAGCTATCGATGCCAGCTGAGTACTTTGGACAACGTTTAAGCCAGAATAGTAACATATATAATTAGCCATTTTCGAATAAGGTGCATTTACGTTGCTACAGCCGGTGTGTGACATTTCATATCATAATAATATACATGAAAAAATTACTCGGTTCTGATTGGCTGAGAGCAGTGCAGTTAAGTGTCAGATTAGTGCAAAAAGTGTAACACCAGTGCAAATTACACATCGTAATTCTGGATTACGATTGGCTGAAAGACAATAGGATATTTCTAGGGCAATGATATCACGTAAAATGATGAGGAATATTTTTGTACGGAAACTTTGAAAAAAGTTTTCTCGAATGAGAAAAAATGCCTTTAAGAAAGATCTTCCGCTACTTCCTCCACGCGAATTTTTCCATGTTTATATTATTAATAAGTAATCATACGGTTTTTCTCGTTCAATTTGGAATTAATTTGCTCTTGTGAGTTTTTCAAAAAGCAGAAATAGCTCTCGCCGAAGCGGCTTGTGCATTTTCAGCCTTTTGTTAACTCACTCGTGCAAATTAATTCCAAATTGAACTCGACACCGTATGATTAATATTAGCTATACTAATGTTAACAATATAATTAATACACATGCGAATAATGTAGATAAATCATCATTTGCAA